GTGTTTAAAGATATGGAAAATGAAACTAGTATTTATTTATTATAATTCTACTGCAAGAAATCATTCGAGACTGCACTCACAAAAGTCTAGCTAATTCCCAATCKTATATAGTAACTTCGAAAAATTTACATTGCAAACTTTCAGGTGAAATTTATCGATTCGTATTGGATCTCACTGGCGCGTCCAAAAAAAATTAAACTTTTATAAATATTAACCGGTATAGGCTGCGATTATTGGCATAGATCAGTCTGCTACAGACGAAGCAGAGTTAACAGGTGACTAGCGAACACCATAAGACGCATTTAATTTCCTGTCTCTACAATGTGATATGCAACCCACCAGAGAAGCAATTTCATAGTCCGCAAGACTTCAACCATATTAAGTATGAGCATTTAAGAGTTAATTTTGCCATATAAATTTGTGCGATGGCTTTGAAATTCACCATGTTCTAGATTATTRACTATAAATTGTCATCGTTTAGAGTCGCCACCGACTCTTATCTTTTTGACGGTTGACAACGCAATAAGAACTCGAATAAGCAGCAGAACCAATGGAGGGGTAATTTAGGGTAATATTTCTGTCAGTCTTTGAAAGTATGGTATGGTTTTTAACCTGTCTTGAATTTTGTTTTAAAGGCTTTCTCAGTATGCGACAAGCACAAAAAAAAAATGCACTCACAGAAGATAAAAAATCTTTCTATTCGGCGTCTGTTTCTTCTTTTGTTTGCACTTCGACTTTAATCTTCGGGGTTTTAGTAACTGCGGAGACGAGCTGTTGCATCGATTTAGTTAATCGCGCTACGCTCACSCTGCAGACTTTACAGTGCGGGCTAATTTTTAATTCGCGCGATTCTGAATTTTCAACAGAAACAAATGCAAATAACCCCACTCTACATCGAGATGGTTCATGAGATGATCTAAGAATTAATAAGAAACATACCCCATTGCGAATTAATTCTGCGATTCACTAAGTTTAATAATGATTTTTAATGAATCATATAACGTATAGTGTCGCTAGATAAAGCTCGTAGTCACTTCACGGCTGTACTGAACGAAAACTGAGGCAGGGCTCCAAACATTAATATACGATATGATAGGCTACAAAACATGAATCAATTCTCAAGGTAATTCTAATAATAATCCGTTTTTTTCTAAAGTGCCAACGACAGCGGCCATAGATATAGCACACAGARGACCTGTTCATCAGCCAAAATACTGGCTTGTTTGTCCAGCAATGAAGGCCTAYCGATGTTCTTGTACAAAAGCTCTTTATTTCATAAATACATCCACACGATTTCAACTAAAAAGTTTCATTAACTAACCAGTAAGCAAGCAAGACGAAATGGTGGAATCTATCGGTAAACTAGTTTGAGTTGCGTCGGTGTTTCTAAAGAAACAGTTGTGAAAACAGGACTTTTGGATTTAAACACCGTAAAAATTAGGTGAAACAACTTGTAACGTTTTGGACGTTAATCCTTGGTCTTTACTGCCACGAAGGATTAACGTCCGAAACGTAAGTAAGTTGTTTTACCTACGTCAGTTTTTACGGTGTTAAAATTTATCCTTTTGCACAGCACAAATGTCGAATGAGCCAGTTTGTGGATACAGATGACCCGCATTTTACACCTTATGTGTAAGACAAGGAATTTTCATATTTACAGCGCTATAAATATAACATGATAAAGAAGTTTCCCTTTGAACATAAAAACTCATCAGTAGTTAATTATTTAAAAGAGATTTAGAGAAATAGTATTTGAAGTCAAACGAACGCGCGCATATATTCGAGAGTCGTCATCATCTTACTTTCAAGGAGTTTAATAAAATCTTGAATAATGGGGTCAAGGTGACTCCAAAACGTCTCATACTACTTTTTATTCTTTATTTTATATTCTATATTCTGAAGAATAACCAACGTAAACAAATAGTCTTTGCTGTATATTTTTATGACTTAATAATTTCAAAATGTACAAGTTAATATCTATGTTTAATTTCCTTTTAATTTCACCTTAAATTCACAGTAAACACTTTAATGAYGAAAAYTATTATTACTGTCAGGTTCATGTAYTGTTGAAGATGCCCTGTTATTAAKAATAATTCAGGAAAATGATTAGAAATTTGCATGTTACTCATACGCTGGTGATTTTGAGCTGAGTGACTGCAATTGTAATTGTCAGTGATTTTCACTCTCTGGATAGCTTACCGTAGAGGGAACCAGAGAGGTCCCTTCAAARGTAATCAAAAAGTCCTAATTGCTTATTTTTTGTTTGCTTTTTCACAGACAGTTGTGTCCACAATTACCTTCTTGAAGCATAAAAAGGATCCTTTTTCATGAGCGCAGAACGAACTCCGAGTCGAACAAGCTTTACAAAATGACGACCAAGTAATTAAGGTAAAAGCATTTTTTCAATTAATTGAGTTGATGTTATTTATCAAAGTTGGTTTCCTTGCTTCAATGGTCAAACTAACAAGAAAAGAAAAAATCAATAAAAATATCGATTGATAGATATATTTGTTTTTCGCATTTTTAACTGAATACAACATGATGGATTTGTACGTTTTTAGAGTATACGAGTTCATTTTATGATTTTGTCACACAGCTTGSCAAGAAAAGTGAAATATTCGTTTTTCTTTTACAAATTTACAAATTTTCCTTCCTTTCTTCAATTTTTTTCATTAACCTGTATTCATTAATCAATTTTTAATGATGTGCTTAATCGCTTGAGAACTATTTTGAAAATCTTCTTATTGTATTTGAATTGAAACGTGTCAAACAATGTGCTACAACTCTACCTCATTTGCTTATCRCGATGGCATACTGCAAATTTATTAATTTTAGCTGAATTAATGGCAGTAATTTCCTCAGCCCCGTGTTTATTAGTAAACCTTGGATTTAATATGGCAATTTATATACAACAGGCRCGTACTTATTATACACACGCGTTATGAAATCTGAAATCATAGTTCATATTTTGCAATGATGATATATTTAGCGCTTAACGAGTGTGCACTTCATCGGCGTTACTCATAAGTGAAACAATCTTATTAAGATGAGAAATTTTACAACATAAAATGTTAGAAAACCTACTGATGTTTTTTGGCACTTCGTCAAAGTAATGAGAGAGAGCACGGATGGAGAAGGAAATTCGTCCATGCAAAGATTTCTACAACGTAGTTTAATGACTGTTCATGAGAGTAACGAGGTGGGACTTAGACCCTTAGAGGTTTTAATTTTCCTCTTCAGGTTTGTTTTTCATCTTATACGTTTTTATCTTTGACTATTATCGAGTAATTATTAAGCATTAGAACTTATTTATCATGTTTTCATTCCTGAATGTTAGAARCACTGGAAGCACGAAGAATTGTCGGGTTAACAACATAAAGGTTTTAATAAATTTCGAGCTGAAAAACAACAATTAATAACATTTCACTTGGAAACCGTGTTTAACCTATGTTTACGTCTTTTGCACATTTCAATCAATCAATGAGCGCGTTAATRTATAATAATTATTTTATAATRATGGAAATTTGAAAGATGTGTTGAGTTTGGAGAAGTGGGAGTGGGAACGTACTAAAAAACGATAAAAGTACGTTCAAAATGAACATTAATTTTTATAATAATCTAGTGCAAAACCGCGCAAACATTTCAAATTCGACACTAGATGATCTTGTCATTATCATGCGTTAAAAAGCCGTCATTCCTGCGACATGTCTAAGGTTTCTTTCACTTCTAAAACTCTATTGTCAAATAAAKAAAGCATGTCGCATATTGTTTGTGTTTAGCTTTTAAGTTTTACATGTAATAGTCTGTTGTGAAACTGTTGTGGTAGATGCGATATTTTCTTTTTTCTGTATTTCTCAAGATTTCTCATGCTAATAACATTGGTACATAAAATTTCAATATTTATTATGAATTGCAAATATGAAATTCTAATGGTTCAGTGTTAATATCAGGGCGGTCAGCTATCGGTGTGGTTGCTCAGGTTCGGCAAGAACCAAGTTTCTTCTACYATGAGAACATTTTAAAAATAATTCCTGGAGAAGTGAGTGATAGAATCTAAAATTCAGAAATCCGGAGATTTAAWGCGTGACCACGCTATTGTATCGAGGTTCTACTGATAAAGAGGTAATTAAAGTTTCATTATTTCTAAATACACGCTCGAAAGACAACAATTTGGTATTAAGTGGCAAAAGTTATGCTCMATGCAAATCTGAAGCGAAGGATATCCAACTAGTGTAGGTGAGCGGTTTTTGACGGGTATATTCTTCGTATGTGAACACTATATCAGTTTATAGGCTTTTGCTACAGCAAAAAAGTGTTTAGGTTGTCACAATTAATGAATTACGAATGTTTTAAATAACAAAACAACTGCATTTGAAGTATATTGATGTGCAACGGTCATAATKCTTGAATCAAACTAATAGTTAAAAGTAAGTAAAATAGCAAAATTACATATTAAAAAAAGAAAAAAATCCATAAATTGAAACAAAATTACAAATGCTACAGGACGCGAATTTCTATCGAGGAAAAAACATGCTAATACTCCAATTTCGAGTTCTGGTTTGCTCTGTGTTAGCCTCAAAACCAAGTAACATATTCCTTAGTTTCATTGATAGGCCGAGAAAATGAATAGAATTTAAAAAAAAAACACACACAATAGAATTGATTTGAAATCTCACACTTTTATTCTCACAATTAGGCATATTTTGCGCACAAATGAGGCTAACACAGAGCATTGGAGATCGAAACTGGATTATTGATACCGATACGTTTTGACTAAAATGGCAAATTGACTCCCATGTTTTTTTGACAAACAAAAARTAAATTTATAAACTACGCGTGATTTGAGCTTCTTTCGAAGTTGATCTTAGGAGAAAATRAAACCACCTGTTTTCATAGGGGGGGACCTAAGTAGCACGCAATTGATGTAATGTATTCATAAAATGTATTGTATTCAATTGTTTCTCATTCTATTGTATTATGTGTTTTGTATTATATCTTTATGAATATATTAYATCAACTGAGTGCTACGTAGGCTCYCYYGTTTTCATAGTTGCAAGAAGTAAAAACTAGACCTGGCCTTCTGGCCTATCGTAACATTYACTAATGACAACTACCGGTGATATAAGATTGAGAAAAATGCTTTATTTGTTTTAATTGAATACTGCATTGTTTTTTAGACCCATTATTGATATCGATACAACTGATCAACTTTGTGACAACCAACATTTTTCAAAACGATTAAAAAAAATCAGTTATTGCTAAATTAAATAGGAAAATAGCTGAAAAAAGCAAACTTTTTTAGGGATAGCAAAGCGTGGAGATTTTCTTATATATAACTATATGGATGGCGTGCTTTTGACTATTTTTTCAATTTCTTTGACGCAATAGTTAAATCTATATACACAAGGTAGAGCAAACATACAGACAGTTAATCGTTATTTACCGAACGCACGTTTAGAGCACGGATCGTTACCAGATCAAACAATACAGTTAACAGTATACTAAAAAAGATTCGTAATTATAATTTGTTCCTAAATTTATAGAGTTTTTATTTCCCGCCGATCGTCAAAAAAACAAACAAACAAACAAACAATACATTAGACGGGGCTGGTCTCAATACAGCCCAACTTGAAAAGGTTGTCCGATCTATAGAGACATTTGCAATGTTCCAATTTGTGAAGTGTGTTGATACATATTAAGTTTCTATCACGGGGGTCATTCTCCAATGTTCATATATAGAATGTTAAAAATGCCTTGTCATTTCCMAACTAAAACATAACTGACAATTATTTTAACAAGATCTGCTGTATTACTTATATACTTATATTTCAAAAAAGGTTTCCGAATAAACTAGCGAATGTCAATTGTAGAACGGCGATTGCACTACCAAAAGTAGCCATGGGTCACTCATTGATGGAAAATAATAACTGAGTTATACTGCAAGATAACCTGAGTCTGTAACCTGAGTATCAGGCATTCGATGGGGCCTCAGGTTTAATAGATAATGTGTGGTGAACATTGGTTTTATTCAGTCGCCGTTTCCATGGTAGTTGAACTCAACAAGTGAAATTTTGTGTAACCAGTCCCTTTCGGTCGCTCATTCTCCCTTCGACCATCGCTGTTCTCCCCGACAACGTTTTTTGAAATAGGTGTATATTTTTCYTTGAAATTCTAAATTCCCAACACTACTTTATCAACATTTCTAGTTCCGAACAGTTGGCACTTCTTCCTTTTTTATTACTGCTATCCCAGATAAAGAACCGGAGAAATGATGTGAACATACCGAGTCGTTTGTGATGTTCAAGGCGATAATCTTTCAGATAACGCTAATTAACCTTAATGAACTATACATTTCCTTTATAACTATTAAGATTAATGAAATCTGCYCTCTCATTATTGATCTTTTACTTATCAACATGTCCCTTTACGTATTCCAATTGAGTAATTTTCAGCTTCAAGACTGATTTCGCTTCATGATTAACCTCTTCAGTTGCTAGAGATGTTGATCCTTGATATCGAAAAGCACAGCAATCTTTGATCCCGCCGCCGGTCGACCAGACCCCTTACGATCCAAATTTCTAATTTCAAGATCTTTGGTCCCCAAAAGACGATGTTGTTTTCCTTGTCTCGAAMGCTTATCCCTGATTCAATTTACGCTACTACCCTGTGCTTTTTTCGGATACCTTAATTTGACTTGCCCCCTAGTTTGTTATMGATAAGGTAGAGAAAGCAACTGATGACAGCTTGGATGGAAGACCATTATTTGAATAGATCATATCTTTTTATGCACTGTTCAGTACGATTTTAATTCTTAATTGAATCCTGAAAATGTACCTTCACACTTAATAATTATTGTTACAAAGCAATAATCCCAGTTTTCTTTGATATAATACTACTAAAAATATCTTGGTATAAATGATTACGAATAATCAATTTTATATACAATTCATGTATTTCCTTYCGGATTGGTCCGGCCTTTCCAACAATTAAGATTCCATCAACATTTCCAGAAATGATAGCAAACAATTATCGAAAACAACAGAGCACTATACCTTTTTTGTTCTAACAAGGTAGGACTGTACACGCTACATTGCGGTTTATCAGTGCGCAATAAGTGTTGCCCCAGAAACAAGAAATAGTTTTCAAATATTCGCTCTCTCTCATGTCGCGATTACACTTTACCCTAAATTTGCATAACTTTTAAACCACAAGCAAGCAAATTCTGAAAATAAGAAGCCATGTTTAATTCCGTGTATTGCAAAATAAGGTAAA